GGGAGCCTGCTTCTCCCTCTCCCACTCCCCCTGCTTGTGTTCCTGCTCTCGCTCTCTCTCTCTCTCTGTCAAATAAATAAATAAATTCTTTTAAAAAAAAAAGTTGTGGAAGAGTATATATAATACAAATATTTTTGTAGGAATGGGGGAAATAAGACAACATATATATTTGCATATTATTATTATTTTTTTAAAGAAAGTGTACACCAGTGGTGGAAGAGGGAAAGGGAGAATCCCAAGCAGTGGAGCCCAGCACTGGGCTCAATCTCATGACCCTGAGATCATGACTTGAGCGGAAATCAACATCAGACACTTAACCAGCTGAGCCACCCAGGTGCCCCTATATGTGCATATTACTTAAAAAATATATATATATATATGTATGAAAATGTTGAAATAGTACGACTGCTCTGAGCTTACTTCTTTATGTAGTTTTGACTTTTGAACCATGTAAATGTTTTGCATATTAAATCAATAAAAATTTAAAAAACAAACCCTAATATTGAACACAGATACAAATTAACCGTACTGATGAAACTATCACATTGATCCTATAACCACTCAGAAAAAAGAATTCAGTTTACTTTTGAGCACAGTACTCCCTTAACAGAAGGTATTTTAAGTACAAATAGAATTGTGAATAAGTAATGACATTTTCTTCATAGGTTTGTTTTTCATAATGCTATCAGTAAAGAAATCTGAAGTTATTTTGTGTATGATGAGAAAATTGTTGGAAACCAGGAGATCTTTCCTCACTATGGGAGAAGGGAGATTGTGATTGGAATAGGAAGAGGATAGGAAGAATTATGTTCTTTTGAAATTAGATTTGATTTGAATTAGAGGTATCAGTATTAACTCATGGTTCTTTAAAAATGTTTATTTCCTAGCTCTGTTTCCTGAAGAAGCCTAGAAGCAATAATGTTCCAGTAACACTGGGCATACCTCGTACACAGATGCTGATTTCTAAATACTATTCTCCACTGAGAGGAACCCAGTTTCTTTGGGGGAAATGGCTGATTTTAAGTCTGGGATACAGGAAATACACAGTAAGTTGGAAACATCTTGTGCAAAAAACTAAGGAAGTACTCAAAATTAATGGGGACATGTCAAAAAAGATACAGGAATTAGCTTAAAGTTTTTCCTGCTGCCCAAATTTGTGATACACTGAACATCAAAAAGAACAACAATGATAATGGTTTATATCATCTCGAGTCAGAAAAGAACCCATTAGTCCATAGTGACACTCAAACTAAAGGTGGTGGTGGAGGTGAGCTTTCTTCTTTCAAAGGCTGCCAGCTAATAAATGTGGAAAAAATTATAGAATTAGAAAAATCACCATTTGCAGCCACCATTATAATCATCATCAGGATCATCAAAGGATGCTAAAATTGTGTTCTTCTTTGTGGAGTAATGCACAGAGAATTAGGAGCAGAACCTCTAAAGCTGCAGGAGAGATAGGCATACCTGATCTACCTCTGGGACTTTGAAGAAGTGGCTTGGACTTAGTCCAGTTTAGCACAGAGTGGATTGTGGATATGCCCACTAAGATTCTATAACCCAGAATGTCCTGATGTTGGCTACCATATGTCATAATTATCTTGAGGGGTGTGAGGGGGTGGAGCTTAGAATAACCATAGCCCTCTTTGGGTGGTGATTCTTTTGAAGGGAAACAATTCTCCTGGTGATCATCCACTTGACTAGTAGTTGTAAATTATTGTGGTGCAAAATTTAAGGATGGAGGAGGTACAGGAACTAGAGAAGAAGAACTTTTTTCTCTTTTGAGTCCTTGCTGGGAGTATGATGTGGACCTTGAGACGTCAAGATAGGCAGGGGCCAAACAGGGAGGCAGTCAAGGCAGGGTCCCACTGGGGGTGGCATCTTTGACAGAAGCCATTTTTGAGGACAGTAAGAGGTGACTGCCTGCGCTAAACTTCCCTGCCAACATTTCTCAGCTCTGGTGGGGGGATCAGGGAAGGGCTTGTCCCAGCCAGGGCTCAGTGGTAAAGGGCAAAATGTTACCTCTCCCCTGTAGGGCAAAGGGGTGATAATGAGGATGTCCCAAGTTAGCAAAAATACACAAATATTTTCCGAAGGGCGTAAGTTCTGTATAAATCAATTAGTTGATGGAGTGTGTACCCATTATTCATTGGTTCTGTCTTTTCCTTATAATAAATTCACAATCTCCTATCATTAAGAGAAATCCCAGTGATTTTGAAAAATTAATATTTTTTCATAAGTTTGCCAACAGCAGATCTTGGACTTCTCAGCCTCCATAATTCATGAGCCAATTCCTTATGATAAATCTCTGTCTCTATCATTATGTGTATATAGATAGGTAGATAGGTAGATTTAGAAGATATACATTTATTGGTTCTATTTCTCTGGAGATCCCAGACTAATACACTAGATAATGAATACACTCCTTCTTTCATAAAATACTTGGTTAGAGAGAGTTTAACTGTCATATATTTGTATCAGTCTCATTCTTTTAACTGCTGTATGCTATCCCTTGTTCTATGGTATATTTAGCCATTTCCTTTTTGATAGGTACATAAGTTCTTTCTGGGTTCTATTCTCAGAATAATTGCAAGCAATATTTTGGCAAAGTACGTTGCTTCCATTATGGATTGAGAATTGCTGAGCCAGTTCTGGCCATGAGAGGTAAAACACACATGAGAGGAATATGGAAGTATCTTCCACAGTAAGGATTTGTTCATCCTGTATCAGACCTTAGGACAATAGCTCCCATTCTTATGGCTTTGTGACCTTATTTTGCCAAGTCAGGACATTTTTTAAAAAGCAAAACAAAATAAAGAACTTTCTGTTGCCATCATTTTCAAAAGCAGGCTATTATAGGGGCGCTTGGGTGGCTCAGCAGGTTGAGCATCTGGCTCTTGATTTTGGCTCAGGTCATGATCTGAGGGTGATGAGATTGAGCCCTGAGTTGGGTTCCATGCTCAAAGCCTGGAGTCTGCTTGAGACTCTCTCTCCCTCTGCCCCTCCTCCCCCTTCTAAAATAAGTAAATAAATCTTAAAAAAATGAATAAATAAACAAACAAATAAAAACCTAGGCTATTTTAATATAAAACCTCAGTTTAGGGCGCCTGGGTGGCTCAGTTGGTTAAGCGACTGCCTTCGGCTCAGGTCATGATCCTAGAGTCCCGGGATCGAGTCCCGCATCGGGCTCCCTGCTCAGCAGGGAGTCTGCTTCTCCCTCTGACCCTCCCCCCTCTCATGCTCTCTCTCTCTATCTCATTCTCTCTCTCAAATAAATAAATAAAATCTTTAAAAAAAAAAACAAAACCTCAGTTTAATGGATAGTCGAATAAAATTCAATTTTATTCAGAATTCACTGCACTATCTTTATTCTCTCTTTGTAGTCAGCAGGTGAATACATTCTCACTCACCTGTTTTGGTCTCCATATACATTAATATTACTCTGACTTCTAGATTAACAAAGAATTTGGAAGATAAGTAAAGTGAGAGAGTTCCTGCCTTCTGACAAAGGGAGAGATCACAACCTAAGAAAAGATGGTTAAGGATGTTTCCTCAGACCCTGACCTAGGAAGTGATTCTAGAATGAGTTAGAGAGAATTCAAACCTGGGTTCTTGAGGTCTCAACCAAAAGGAGGCCTGGCATGGAAAGATGAGTGTGAGGTTGCCCGAAGAGATTGAAACCCATTGGGAAAACGCTGTGACCCAGTATGCTCTGCAATGATACCACAATTATAGATACCAGAACAAGTTATTTAGAGAATAACATCTGAATCTATTATGTCATCTTTATGCTGCTTTCTTTAACACATTTCCCTTCTATACCATGAAAAAATTGTGAGAATATAAAGTTCATATGAAGTGAAAAAATTGGTGATTGTCTTTTGAAATAAAATAGCACTTTTATGGTCATAGCAGCTGTTCTATCTTCAAAGACAAGAAGAAGAGGGAGGATTGCTGGCCCAGCAAAAAAGTGAATGTGAAAAATAAGAGGATGGAAAAGCACTTTCTGTGGTTAGAAAGGCCCTGGAGATTGGATGCCTGGCTCAGTCAGTAGACCATGCTGTTCTTGATCTCAGGGTTGTGAGTTTGAGCCCCACGTTGGGCATAGGGCTTACTTAAAAATAAAATCTGAAAAAACAAACAAACAACAACAACAACAAAACGAAAGACAGGCCCTGGAGCATCAGTTCAGCCAGCACTGTGGCTCTCCCCATATAATCACATTGGAGGCAGCGGGGTATAGAGTGAGACCCCAGCTAAAGATCTGTGACTTAGGGTCAATTCTTCCACTCTCAGGGAAAAACCTTGGATCAACCAATGGTCTCACTGATCCTTTGTTTACTCTATAAAACTGGGGTAAGAAGATTGCCTTGTGTGACAAGAGGATAAGTTTAAAGCCCTGTGAAAATTAGAAAGTGTTATACAAACAAATTATAATAGTTAGAAAAACCAGAAAGGTGAGGGGGGAGTTGGGATGGGCCAAAGCTAGGTCATATGCGGACTTTGTGCAAATTAGAAAAAGATCCCCCTTTGTTGGACACAGCGTGGTACCAGGCTCACAGCTGGGTTAGTGGAACTTGGGCTGGATTGTAGCCCTACCATGTTCCCTGAGTTGCATGTGAACTATCTGCAAAACTGCATGTGGTTGACCTAGTGGTCAGGGCCCTTTGTTCTGGGCCTCAAGTTCAAGGGAGTGTCCAATTCTGACTTCCATTCAGTAGAAATACATGCAAGGGATCAGGATGAAGCTCTATCACAATGATGATTCTAAATGGTATTCATCTAGCAAAATCCAAAGAGTAAGCGGTCTCAGTCTCAAGCTGCTTGGGCCTTCCGGAGTCTTTTGTAGAGCCTAATTATTACTATTATTTTTTTAAAGATTTTATTTATTTGACAGAGAGAGATACAGCGAGAGAGGGAACACAAGCAGGGGGAATGGGAGAGGGAGAAGCAGGCTTCCCGCGGAGCGGGGAGCCCGATGCGGGGCTCGATCCCAGGACCCTGGGAACACGACCCGAGCCGAAGGCAGACGCCCAACAACTGAGCCACCCAGGCGCCCAAGCCTAATTATTTAATAATCTTAAAAAAATCCAGTGACATTCAGCTTCCATTAAGGTCATTGGTTAAGTAGCTGCATCAGCAATATTTAGATGTAGGACAAATAAAATAATAATTGCACATAGACACATAACCCATATGTGGTCTTCACCCTTGGACAGCATTTCATTTTGCCGTGTTTGAAACCAGCCTCGGAAGTGGACTCAGTACTTTGTTTCATCTGCCTTCTACCCTTCCCATTAATGGCTCATTTTATCTGTTATGCTGGCTTTCTTTTCTTCTGTTAAACACATCAAATTCCCCAAAGGATGCAAAAATGATACATGCACCCCGATGTTTATAGGAGCATTATCAACAATAGCCAAATTATAGAAAGAGCCCAAATGTCCATCAACTGATGAATGGATAAAAAATATGTGTACACACACACACACGCACACACACACACACACACACAAAGGAATATTACTTGGCCATCAAAAAGAATGAAATCTTGCCATTTGCAACGATATGGATGGAGCTAGAGTGTATTATGCCAAGTGAAGTAAGTCAGTCAGAGAAAGACAAATACCATATGATTTTGCTCATATGTGGAATTTAAGAATTAAAACAGATGAACCTAGGGAAAGGGGGAAAAAAGAGAGAGAGAAGCAAACCATAAAAGACTCTTAACTATAGAGGACAAACTGAAGATTGATGGGGGAAGATGGGTGGGGGATGGGCTAAATGGGTGATGGGTATATTGGAGAGCACTTTTGATGAGCATTGGGTGTTTTATGTAAGTGACAAATCATTAAATTTTACACCTGAAACCAATTTTACCATATATGTTAACTAACTAGAATTTAAATAAAAACTTGAAATAAACACACCCACACACCCACACACACACACACACCAAGTTCATCCTACCTCTGGACATTCGCACTTGCTGTTCCCTCTGCCTAGAATGTTTTTCTCCCAGATTTTTGCATGGCTCAGTTCTTTCAACTCAAATGACCTCTCTCATCAGAGAGGCATCTGAAATAATTATGTTGCTTCTAAGCTGCACTTTTTTTAATTTAGCATTTTAACATCTCTGAACCTGAGATGCATTTAACAGTTGCTAGTGTCTTATGGCTGTGATTAGCCAGGCAGCAGGCATGGCTTGTCATTGCTCATGTGTACAGATGCAAATTGGGATGTTATTCCTGGTGGGTCTACTGGACATTGGCCTCTTCTTCACAATTTAGTCAACCAGTCAGCTACACTAGATACCTACATATCTAAGAGAGAAACTCAAATGATATTCTAAAGATCAGGAAGATTTTTTTTCTAAAGATTCACAGCAAAATTGAAAGGAAAGTACAGAGACTTCCCATAGACTCCCTGCCCCCACAGGTGCACAGACTTCCCCATTACCAATATCCCTTACCATCACGGTACATTTGCAGGAAGGTTCTTTGTGTTTGAAAAGGTTGAAGCAATGCTGACTTTCCTCACCAAAACTGAGAAAACACAATTCATTCTCTGGAGGGCTTCTCCTGTGACAGAAGCCCACCTCAGGTATAACTGTGTAACTGCATTTTTACACAATGTAAATTCATGCATATTTTCTAAACTTCAAATTTGTTTAAAAAATTATGTACCATAAATATTTATAAGTAATATGCATCTTTCCCAAGAAGATGTTATAAGAGTATGATGGAAGAATTGAGATAGTTATCTTAAAAATATTTGCTCTCCAAAGGCTGAGAGGATTTATTGTTCTGTTCGTCTTAAAAATGAAAAACTAGTAGAACAATGAATAAAAAAACTCAGTGACAGCTGACAGTAAATATTTTCTAGGATCTGCAACTTGTATTCTTCTGAAAATGAATCTTTTGGGGATTCAAACTTTCTCACTATTCCCTAACCAAAGCTATTTCAAATAGCTGATCTTTCTCAAGTGGAGCCTATAGCTTAGTTTGTAAAGCATTTGCTTCCAAAATATGTATTTTACTTGGTCTGTTTTGCTTATATTAAGTTCAGTAGCTAACCTCTCCATGTCCATTTAAACAAAATATTTCAGAAGCTCATGCTACTATCACATTTTCAGTTTACTGGAGAATCTGAATTTGCTTCTGAAAAAAGCAACAGAACAGTGCTCAGCAAAC